ATTTTACTCATCTCACAGCAATTGCGTGCTCCTTCTTCACTTTTATAGATTTTAGTTGTCATTCTCTTCTTATGTTTTGAAGAGATTTGACTTTAAGGAGCACAGCATTATACATCAAAAGAATAATTTTTAAACAATGTCATACTACATCTTCTGCCACAAAGGTAAGTTCAGAGGCCAGGCTCATTTGTCTTTATAACTCGAAGTCCAGCAGCACCTGGCACACATTGTTTGATGAATGTTTGCTGAATACATCAAAGAAAGAATAAACCAATGATTCAGACACTTAAGCAAGGTCAGTTGGTTCAATTCTCCATTTCACTTTTCTAGTACACACACAAATCTTACTGAAGCTTTTATGGTATAAATGAGCCCCATTCTCTCGGAACATCAAGAAGCAAGGATTGCGGGGTGGGGGATGCTTCTCTTCTCTTTATAGCATCCCACTTTGAGACTACAATCACAATGAACATCAGTGGACCCCAACACTAATCCTTCTTTGAACCTCTTCCCTTCCTTCCGCTTCCCTGTCTCAATCATTCTAGAATCTCTGCCTGAGGGCCCCTGCCCCTTCTGCTGTTTTGGCATTTTTTGTTACTGCTGATTATATATCTCTCTCTCCCACTAGCCTCTGAGCTCCTTAAGAGCAAAGGTTTTCACCTCCAGCCCAATGCCAAAAATATAACATAGTAATTCCTCAATAAAACGTCTAATGAGCAAATAAACGGGTAACAGAAAAAGTAGTTCCTATTCATACAGGGTCCCTATGAGACAGCGTGGACTCGACGGCAACAGGTTTTGTTTCTGGTTTACTCAAATGAAGTTCTTTAGGAAATCAGAGGCAAAACAATTATGGAAAATCCGTAATTCCTGACTAAGGGTGAAGTAATTTTCACCACCCTGCCACTGCTGTATTTTTAAAATGCAGACTATATTCAGGTAACAATCCTCTGCTTACGGTAATAAATGGCATCCCTTGGCCTTTCAGTATCCTTAGCATTTTTTACAAGCTGATCGGAATTTTACTCTTCAGCTTCACCAGTTGACACTCCTCCATGTCAAAATCTACTCTCCAATCGTAATTAGTTGCCACTGAACTGACTTCAACTCATGGTGACCTCATGCGTGTCAGAGTAGAGCTATGCACAATAGGGTTTTCAATGGCTGATTTTTCAGAAGTAGACCGCCAGGCTTTTCTTCTGAGATGTCTCTGGGTGAAATCAAACGTCCAATCTTTTGGTTAGCAGCCAAGCACGTTAGCCATTTCTATCACCCAGGGACTCCTCTCCAAGCATACTCAGCTACTTTTAGTTCCCTCTCACCTACTTATTCATCCCTGCCTCTTGCATATGTGGCTCCCTCTTTTGGAACATGTTCTCCCTCTTTCTTCAACTGGCTAAATCCTACTTATTTCTTAAGATTCTATTAAGGAACCTCCTTTAAACATCACTGACCAGGTTGTCTCCCTTGTCCCTCAATAAGCTTCAATGATCTCCATCTATAGGTTCATGGCATTGCATGTATAGCTCTACAACAGCATAATACAACATATTGTAATTAGTTTCCCTTCCTGGTCTCTCCAACTACACTGTGAACTCCCTTGTGGATTTTACCATGCCTTTCATCTTTGCAATTTCTAAAAAAAAAAAAAAAAAAAACCTGTTGCTGTAGAGTCAATTCTAACTCATGGCAACCCCATCTGTTACAGAGTAGAACTGCTCCATATGGATTTCTGGGCTGTAATCTTTATGAAAGCAGATTGCCAAGCCTTTCTTCCACCACACTAGTAGGTAGGTTCAGACCACCAACCTTTATGTTTAGCAGCCAAGAGCAAACCATTTGCACTACTCAGAAACCTCTTGTAATATCTAATTCCTAATAATGTACCTAAAGTGTTAATAAATGAATGTTGGCCCACAGAAGGTAACTCTCTGAGGCATGGAATTGAGATTAGTTAACATGGTGATGAA